ACGGGGGGGGGGGGGGGGTGAGCAGGAGGCAGCACCAAGAGCACTGGAGGCTAGGGCCGGGAAGGGATCCACCAACGTCTAAACCGAATATCTAAACAAGAAGAGTAAAGTATAGTGCTCTGCGCGCCGCCGCCGAGTCTTGACTTGGATCACCTCTAGCAGACGGTTCCACCCCCCCCCCCGCTCCGTTTCTCCCCGCCCCCCGACAGGTCGCGTCCATTTACCTGGTGTCAGGGGTGTTCGGGACGATAGTTTCGGCGATCTTCGTCCCGACGCAGGTCATGGTCGGGGCCTCGGGGGCTATCTTCGGGGTGTTCGGAGCGCTGTGGGCGGACCTGTGGCAGAACTGGAGCGTTAACCAGGACCGCTGCAGGATGTTCACCGTCCTCTTTATTCTCACTGGTGAGGGTTTGTTTTTGTTTTTTTCTGTGGGCGACAAGCTGTTTAGGGCCTTCATTCAGCACGCGCTTTGGCGACAAGCTAATAGGACCTAGGTTTCCTTGGTGGTGTCGTTGCCGAAGATGTGTTGGTGCTGTTGCTGTTGCTGTTGCTGTTGCTATTGTTGTTGCAGAACCGATTTTCAAATCGCGATTACTTCACAGCAAGAACGCTTGCGGCGCCGATAATGGCGCCGTTTCGTTCTGTGCTTTTTGTCTTATTTCGCTCGTCATGTCTTTGTTTTCTCCGTCATCCGCACGAGTCTTGTTTGCTCATCATTGTTTGTTTTCTCCTCCTTCTTCCGCGCTGTGTGTGTGTACGTGTTTTTTTCGCGAACTATCGGAACGGAATGACCAGCGGTAAACATCATCCTGGGCCTGATGCCGTTCTTGGATAACTTCGCCCACTGCGGCGGCATGCTGATGGGGTTGTTCATGGGCTTGGGTCTGCTGGTGCAAAAGAGGGAAGACGACCGTGGGGACCGTCTCAACAAGAAGTGTTACCAGGCAAGGGTTGCGGTGCCTGGTTGTTGATTGATAAGTCTTGGCGGGAGTGGCGTGGTCGTCGGTTCTATTGTTGACTTGGTCGTTGTTGTGGTGGTTTTGGTCGTTGTTGTGGTGGTTTTGGTCGTTGTTGTGGTGGTGGTACTTGTCATTGCTGTCGTTGCCGTTACTGTTGCTGTTGTTTGCGTACAAGGTTCATTGCACCTTGTACATGCTCGACTCGGGGTCGTCGTTTGAGTTGGCGGTTCGTCCACCGACCAGATTACCGCCTTGTGTCAGCAGCCACTTCACCGAAAAGCATAAAATCATTGTGACGGTCGTTCGGTTCTTGTGTGTGGCTTGCTTTCCCCGTCGGGCGCTGACACCCACGTGGCGGTTACGACGAACGTGCTTCATCGCGCGACAGATAAGCCTCCAGCTCGTGGCGGCGGTCGCTGTGCCCACGCTGATGATCCTCGGGCTTTCTCTTCTCTACGGGAGGTCGGATCCCGCGGAGTGGTGCGGTTGGTGCGAGAACATCTCGTGCGTGGAATTCCCGCCGGGGGACAGCCCCGTGGTGGGCTTGCGACGAGTGCAGCACGGTCGGATTCGAAGGTAGGTGTTTTTGCATAAAAAAAAAAAAAAGTGGTGATCGTGGTTGGGGGGGGTGTTGTTGCTGTTGCTGTTGCTGTTGGTTGTCCTCCTTTCGAACAACGGTCTGGATGTTGTTCGGCCACCCACGGGGAGTAGTTTTTTTTACCCAACATTGGGGCATCCCTTTGGTGTAAAAGCTGTTTTGAAGCCCCCCCCCCCCCCCCCCGCCACGTTGTTTGCCCACTCCGTGCCTCCGACATGTATGATGGCACAGGCGGAAAAATTCTCGGACGGCACGATCACGATATCGTGTCCGGACGGAACATCCGAATCGAGCGACCAATGCTCAGACGAATCGGACGAATTGCTGGTGGCATGTTGCATCAGCCTCTGCCTGTAGCCTACAGCATGCATACGTTACCGTTACCCGTTGCGTGCGCGGGCGCGCGCGTTTGCTGCTGCTTCTGGGCACCGTGGAGACCAAGCTATTTACGACCTTCGTTTAGCACGCGTTTGCTGCTGCTTCTGGGCTCTGTGTGCGACCAGCTATTCAGGACGTTCATTCAGCACGCGTTTGTTGTTGCTTCCTTGGGGCTGTGGCGACAAGGTAGGACCTTGGTTGCCTTGGTTGTGAAGCTGGTTGCCTTGGTTGTGAAGCTGGTTGCATTGGTTGTGAAGCAGGTCGCCGCCCCCCCCCCGCCCCCTGGCGGCAGCTTTGCCTTGGTTCTGTTAATGGTTCTCATTTATATCTGTCCGTTGAGACAGGGGGTGAGGGGACCATGCAAGATGTCTCGAAGGGAGCAGATGTGATTCCACGCGCTGTCATTGGTTTTGCTGTTGAGGGCACCTAGCTGTCGAGCGAGAACGAAAACCGGTGATATAGCACCCGTCACGCAGCTCAGCCACCCGCTAATGGCGCTTGGTTGCTCAGGTGCTCGAGGATGAAAAGCTGCAGGCGGTAAGAGCGCCCTCATGTGTATTTAACGTTTGTGTGTGTGTGTGTGTGTGTGTTTTTTTCTGTACGACTTGCGCCGCGTTATAGCCCTTTCATGCCTCCTTTGTCTTTTGTCTGCGACCGAGTTGTGGCGTGTGGTCTCGGCGCACTGAATTGTTATTTGTCTCTCTATTGTCATATTATAGTAAACTTGGGTCACGAGGCAGGTCTCAAAGTCCTCTTTCACAGCGAAGGTCGAGGGTACAGGGCGCATGCGAGCTCGACACCGATAATATTAGCCATGGTGGATTTTTGTTGTGTTTCCTGTTTTAATTTCTCGGTTTCGGTTTCGAGCCCGCACGTGCGGCCGGTGTCTCAATTCAATTCTCGCGGCCGTATCGCGGGCGAGCACGTGTGTGTCGGGAGAACTAGTGTGGCATCCCCCAGAGAGAGCGTGTGTGCCATATTTGGCTTTTGAGGCTGTGCGGCTGTTTAGGTGTTGCGGACAAAGAAAGATCTATATTGCTTGAGGGCGGCAAGGCGCTTTTTTCTCTCTCTCTCTTGACTGTTTTTGTTAGCTTTTTTTTTTGTAAAATGTACGGCGCGATCTGAGCGCTGCTTCTCTCGCCCCACGACAAACGAGAGGCAGGTGCCATGTATGGGCCGATGTGGGCTGCCAGGTGAACGAGAAAATATTTTGTCCCGCTGCGCGCCGATTTATTGTGTGATATTGTTCGAGTTCTGTTCTGTGTACGTCGGTCGTGTGACGCCTAGACCAGCGCCAACCGAGAGATGAAACAAGAGGTGCCCGATGGTACTTGCCCCGCGGTCGTGATGACCACTCTCCGGGGTTTGGTAGAAACACGCTGCGTCCACGCAATGTTCGGAGGAGGGGACGGGGTAATATGATCAAGGAGGGTCGGCGGGAGGCACGAACAACATTGATACCCACTTCACCGTACGGAGGGGACGGGATATATGGTAATGGGGGAGGCGAGGACAGGATATGTATTCGCAGTCCACCTGGGGTAAGATAGAGGGCGCGCAGTCGTTGTTGGCCAGTAGAGTTTCTGTTTCGGTATATTATACATATGCCAAATACCAAATACAGGGGGGTGTTTTCTGCTTCATTTGTTGAGTAATGTCGGAGTCTTCGAGACCATTCGCGAGTCTCGAGGTACCAAATATTGTAGCTTGCTGTGTGGGCCATCCTTAGTCTGTTGCTTTGTGGTTGCGCCTTGCAGCAGTGACGGCTCGTTCATGACAAGATCTTCATTGCTGTGTCGACAACATGGGTGCGTACCCATGCTCGCCTTCTGTTTTCTGTGTGCTGCTGCTGCTGCTGCTGCTGCCGCTGCTGCTGCTACTGCGTGCGTGTGTGTTACAACCTTTTTTTTAAAGTGGTTTTTGTGACATGTGCCTGCCTGTCGTTGAGTATTGAAGCCTCCGCCATCGATGTGAAGGCGTTTCGTTCTTCTTGTTTTGTTGGGGTGTTGTTGACTTGCTGCGTAAGGCACTGGCACGAAGTAGCGGGTTCGGCAAATTGTCAAAGCCACATTCAAGATGGTTTTGACATGCGGCCGTCCGCCTGTCGGGCGACTTGTCTCTTTGTGTAATGTCTTCATTCTGATGTACATTGTTGAAGTCTCGTCGTTGCGGATGTTAATTAGCTTTGTTTGCGGTCAGCGATCGCTGTTTATTTTCGTGGCGTGTCAGCCGCCTCTCAATCGCGCTCGGCAACGCCATGCCGGTCACGTTCGGGATATATCTCCGAACCTGTCACCACTGCTCTCCCACCGCCTTTTCTTCCCGTGGGGGATTGTTGTCTTCTTGTTTTCATTCTTTCTTCAATGTGGTGGCACGCATCTATCTGGGGTTGCGGCTTTCATTGCCCGCGCCGCATGCTGATGTCTTCAGGGGTGATCACGAATGCGCTTACAGCTTGGCCTTGATTGTGAGGGCGCGTGTATCACGCATGATCATTTTCGGAGGAATGAAATGGTTCAGAGCTCTTTGTGCCTTCAACGCGTTCAAGTGGACAATTGCCTGCAGGCATGTGCACTGGTTGTTGTCATTTTGCCCAAATTACGATGGATACAGCCGCCACAACAAACATTTCCAAAGTCCCTGACAAAGCACGCGAATGAACAAGCGTTTCCGTTTTCGAACTTGGGGCGACCACTTGGTACCATACACTCTCGCATTTTAGGGTGCTGGCCTTCATGGCCAGGTGAATTTACTGTTTTCGGCACCCTTCATTTTGTCAGCTAGGATGAGTGATCAATGAAGCTTGTTGTGCAGCATTTCGTCGCCTTGTTGATGGTGAAGCCGCTCCCGGAGTTTCGTGATTCGCTGCATCGTTGCCTGGACATCCTGCGGGTATCAAAGAGTGGAAAGAGTGGCCGCATGTTCGCGGACGTTGGCCACGAGGGGGTGAAGTGCGTGTGAAAGCCAAACCTTGTACGTAGAGTACGTGTGGGTCAAACTTCTACAGTACGTACATACGCTTACGCCATAATATTCTGTACCACCATGGGGGTCTCACTGACGTGAAGGATCGACAATGGTGATGGCGTGGATATTTATACGGACACTGAGGCGCCGATCGCGATAGTGGACTTCGGAACAAGGCGAAGAACCCACAGGTGGCAAAAGAGATTTGAGCAAAGAACACCGGTTGACTCACAGAAACGAGTACTACTCTGGTTTCCGGGGGAAATCTGAGCAAAGAGTTTGTCGGGATCCAGGGATGGAAACGTACAACGTGTCACTCTGTTGCCCACGTGGTGCTCCCCTCGCCGGGTTGTCTCTACACAGTACAGAGCTAATTGTCTTACGTTCGTGAGGCACGTATTGGTGCACGCAGCACCGTCACTCCTTGGGTGTATACTTCGTTTGGCATCCTGGTGCGATCCTCGGCTTCTTTTTTTTTTCCATCTGGTCCCCTACCGACGGTATCGCCGCCCGTATGCGTAAGTACAGTACGTGCATTTTCTTGGGGACATGGCCGAAACGAGCACGACTGTTCTGGGGTGTGATTTCCAAACCATGTGAATATGACACCACCGTAGCTATCGAGTGAAACTTAAACTGTCTTCTTGGCGCCGTTGCTCACAACCCAATGATTCTCTGAACAGCCGAACTCATCCCAATCGACCAGATTTGGACAGTGCAGCAAGAAACGAAGAATTCCCACGTCTCGGTGTGTACCTTTTCGATGCTGGCTCGATCTTCGGCGGCGATCCTGGGGGCGTACTTGCTCATGAACTTATCCGGGTGCCAGCGGAGGCTTGCCGCTCTCAGAGCCGCCTGCTCAATTAGTTTCGACGTGGATCCAACAAACCGTACAAGACGCACAAGCGAAACAGGTTTGCGCGGGTCAACAATTTATTGTGTGAACGTGCCTATGAACTTGAGACATTTGACAACACATGCACATCTGTTGAGGACTTCCTAGGCAAGATCTTCTCCTGTCGTACCAATTAAGCGCACGCACTGCTCGCATCTTTTCGACAACCGATGTAGCAGCAGCAGGAACAGCGGCTAATCCATTTACTGGGGTTTTCACTACAGGCAAGTTAAACAGTTTTTTCCCGAAATCGAAGAGCGAAGAGCTTCAAGCCGTGCAAGCCGAAAATGTATCGCATGTTCTACACTTCAAACGCGAGCAACGCTGCAGATATTTTGTGAAATTTGGACCCCTGAATGACGACAAGAACCTGAAACTCGAAAAGTCGATAGGTTTTCCGATTTGCCGTCACTATGTAAGCTAAACGCTCTCTCTGGCCCAAATTTCGGATGCGTTATTTCGAGGTGTGACTGGAGCAGATACATTCATGTGTTATTTTGTGCCAAAGGCCAAATCAACGTAGTATAACAGCTTCCAACCACACACGAGACACCGTAAGACCACGTACTTTCTTGATATCTGATGAGTCGCCTTCATTCACCCCAAGGGTCTCGAACCGCTCGTCCTGAAGCAGCCCCTTGGCCCCTCCTCTGCTGTTGCCGCCCCCCGGAAAGACGCCTCGCCCGACCGATGCCCCCCGCTCGCCTAGGGCTGAAAGCTTCGGTAGCCAAGGGATATCACCGTGTCTGTCCACATTGGGTATATTTGTGAAGCTTCGCTCAGGCACATGCCAATGGCATCACTTCACTACTATGTAGTCTTTCTCTACCGATGTCGACATACACCAAAGGGGGCGGCTGCAATGTAACAGTGAAGGGGCAGATCGTGGAGGCTATCGTCCTCTGTGACGACCCCAGATTGGAGACATTGTCACTTGGTGGCTCGTCATCGAATGTGCAGGATGCTCCCGCTCAACAGGAAGTGAGGCATCGGACCGCGATAGATGGGACCAATGGAAGTGAAATGTAGGATTTCGCGATTTGTGAGCCCCAACAGCTCGATTTTGAAACTCCGCGGAATGGTTGATGGAAAGCGTGGTCCCGACCCTAACCCTATCCAGGCGGACACATATTGACACCCTCATCTTACTGCAGACAACCCGTATCTTCATAGATTCCTGCTGCCCCCGTCGTCGCTTGGCTAATACTGATATTATCGTGAACACAGGACGGAGACTTCTCTTGAAAGGGAGTGTCGTTCTTCCACCTGATTGTATCTGGAGGGTTGCTGGAGAACCTGAACCACTTCTCCGTGTAGCGGCGCACCTTTGCCGCGTCGCGAACTTTGTCCAGGTGGCTTCGCATTTGCATGCGCTCCTGCAACCAAAACACCTGCAGAATGCGGTATTGTTGTCGGTTGTGCATTTTTCGATTTTCTTCGTCGGGGTCGTCGTTCGCATTTCATTCTTAACCACCAGTGCTTTACAACCTCCGCAGGTGGCTACTCCGTCCGGTGGTTGAACTTTACCGCAGTGAAGACCATTCCCACAGCCTACGATAAACCGGAACATTTGGTTGACGCATGTCTCGGAGTACCAGATGATGAAAAAACAAGGCATGGCGCGACTTTGCCTGGCCCTGGGTTCCACCAATATCCAGGCTCCGACTGCTCTCTATCTCCTCCCGTGGAGTACCGTGAAATCCAGTTCGTCAAACGTCGTCACCGGCGGATGGAATTGGAACAACTCTGACCGTTCCTGGTGGTGACTCTTTATCATAGAGTACGTGAGCAAGCGCCGTTTCACACGGACTGACGCCATCAGCTATTTGGAGAAGAACACCGCGAAACGTGCAGACTGAAGGCCGGGCTTGCCTCGTCGCTCATTCCCGCAGAAACGCTGTCACTGCCGTGTCGCCCTGCCCCTCCATCGTTTTCCTTCTCTCTCTCCCGACTGCTGTCTTCCTCGGAGCCATCGCCGCAAGAGGGTGCACGACAGAGGGGCGGCGTGGGAGGCAGGCCACCCGCATTCTCCGTCACCGTCCTGTTCACATGCGCCGCCCACGGGGGTCTTTCTCTTCAGGGCTTTGCAGGCATTGACCGCGCCAACCAGATGACAATTATTCACAGATTGTGTGTGGTGGCTGCACCATGGTTTGATTTGTACCGAGATAATACCGTTTGTGGTGGTGGAAGGAGTATTATAATATGCATCTCTATGTACAGTAGTACGATAGGAAAATCTATTGTCTCGTGACTGAGGCGGCTACAGATATTTTGGACGGACAAGAGGAGCTCACAACCGTTCTCTCTCGCAACGATTGCCCCGACGTTTCCGAACCGATGTTCACTCCGATCAAGGATAATGCAAGCCTCTGACAATCTTCAGCACTTTGATGGTGGTGAAACTGACCTCCCGAAGAGCCAATCGTCCCTCTCTCGCATCCACCGCTCCTCTGGGCTCTCTTCGAAATTTTTAGTGTTGTTCTTCCGGCCTTGAAAATCGGAATCACCGTCAGGCCCGCAAACATCATCGTCCTCCATCAGAGGCACTGGCCGACGTATCCCTTCTCCAGCCTTCCACCCGCCTAGAAAGCCCGATGCTCTCTTGGTTGGGTTTGCCACCGAATGAAGATTCACCCCCCACACACGCAAGTGGGCACCAATAAAAACAATAGGCAGGGTATTGATTGGAAGTGGGTTTATTTTATCTACGATAGGTTCGGAATACCGGTTGCCTCCCTGACTACAAATATCGTACTCTGTCAAAATATCAGTTTATTCTTGCCAAAGGCTACTTCAATGAAATGAACATCTGAAATCGAGGAAGAAAGCCTGTGCTCACAACTGTGTCTCGTGCAAGTTTATGTCGACGGCAACGCACGACCAGGATTCGCGTGGAAATGATGCCACCCACGCGATTACTTGTCGTCACAAGTGCGATGTTAGAAACCTCTTAGATAATCGACTTGCGGCGAGGCAGGGGGAATGAATGGTATTTCTCAGCCCAGTCACCAATTCACTTATGAAATATAGGCCCTACTGTACCTACAAGCCAACTAGCAAATAGTCTATCACGAAATTGTGTCCTGAAACGTATTGGTAATGAATGACCCTGTTGGGTGGGCATTCAACTACCCCATCAGGGATCCTACAAAAAAGTTGAACTTTGCACCCAGAGGGTCTCTGAGTCGTCGCACCGGCAACGCCATATCCTCATTTGGATGGCTCGTGGCTGTCAATTGGTGTGCGCGTGTTCGTTTGTGTCCGAAAAGTGAATCAATGAAAACGAGGCTTGAAAAGAATGTGAATGGAGGTGATACAAGAGAGATTCTGGCCAAGTGTGTGAAAGCAAGAGGGGGTTTGAATAGCACGAGAGAGAGGGTAACACCCTTGATAATTATTATACACGGTTCGCCGGGTGATGAAAGTTCGATGAGCAGACAAGCATGCGCGAGCGAAACGCGGATCTCGAAGGCCCTGTTCGCTTCCATCCAAAGGTTTTTGCCTTTCATTGATATGGCATTATCGCCTCCACGGTTGGGCTGTTTGCCATGCACCACTTTGAAATCGCCCCATGTTCCATTTGTAGTACTCCTACTACGCTTTCGGACACAATGCTTTAGAATTTCCCAAACCACGTTCTTTGTGCATTCCAGTAGATGCCGATTCTCGTAACTCTCTCCTATGAATTCCAGCTGGGAACAACCGGTGCGGAAATCATCCACACAACCAGACAACATGTTCCCAATTCTGGAGGCAGAAGAAGAGGGGAAAAGGACATCGAGACAGAAGCATCACCTTTGCGCAACTACCATCGGCGGGAACGGGCTGCTGGCGCTCAGGCGTTCGGCCGCCTCTACTGTTCTTGAATAGCGCGAAAAGAGGCTTGTCAGGCTCGGTCCTGGATAGTTTGGCAACGGTTTCGTAAGCACAGAAGTCACGACATGCGTTACCGTGGAGACAGTGACATGCAATGCGGCGCTAGCATCACCACCCGTGCGTGAGACACCCCCACACTTACCTCATCGCCTCTGAACCACCACCCCCGACGCCTCTAAGCCACAACAAAAAAAGCGCCACAACACCGTGTCTAGGTATCGAGTGCAGATACGTTGGGCCCTTCCCTACCTGGCCTCCTTGAGCAGCCCGTTACGGAGGGCCCAGCACGCACAGCGCGGCCCCTGTAGCCCACATGCCACACACGGCGTGGCGAACAGGTCCAGATTTCTCGAAGGGCACCTGCGGTTCCTCGAGCGGGTTCGGGGTATTCAGGCAGCGATCAGTTGGCTATGGCAACTACAATATGTATGTTTTGCGAAGCCCAACGGTGTCCGACAGTAGCCTTAGGCGTATGGCTCGTGGAAGAACTTGTGGTTCAACAGCATTCCCAAACCCAATGAGGAATTGTGCGGCAGTCATTTTGCAGCAAGCAGTTGGCTCGTGTGGTCACGACGTGTTTGATGTTCTGTACCACTAGGAGGAGAAAGCAAAACCATTTCGGATCGAACTGCAGGAGTCGAGCGATTCTGCTGCTGATGTGGCATCTATGCTCCTTGTGGAAATTCGGCCCAGCAGGGGCGACCACCCACTTTGGTAGTCATGCTTCAAATGTTTGATCGATTATTGACCTTGGGCTTCGTCTCAAAAAAGCGATGCTTGAAGTTCCTTCTCTGCGTATGCCGACACCAAGCCAGTCGCCGCAACGAGATAAGATTGGTCCTGCTACGACGTTGCCCTTAAGCTTTTGAGGGCACCAAAACGAAAAAAAACAAGGAGGTACCCCTCACCGTGTTGTACAACTTTTCTGAACGCCCAGGAGGACTACACAAGAAACACCAACGGACGATGCCAATGTGGATGACACCAATACCCTCACAAGGCAGCCCACTCCGGAGTAGGCATAGTTTTGTGGCAAACGCCAGAAATCGTAACATTGACACAACGAGCCGGTTGGCACACTGCGTTCTTGATGCATTTGTTCTTGCTCACCTTTCCTCGTGTCGGTCGAGAATTTGGACGCGAAAAAGCTTCCGGCAGTACCCGCAACTGCCCGGCCACAATCAGACAAAAGAGGGGTAGAGGAGCTCAGGACGTCGTGTGCGCGGATGTTTCCAAACAGAGTGTCCATGTGGTACGATCCTCTCTTCCATTTTCCATCAAGAACTTCAGACAGGGCCGGGCAAGTGATGGTTCTATTTACGTCACGCCTCCCCCGCTCCGAAATGATACTCCGAAATGATACCGTTTGTGTGTCGGGGCGTCTGAGTTTGCCACAACAACAGGCGTCGGCGTAGCCACAGCTGGGGCGCACACCATGCACCTTGCGACCTACACAGCGTTTAGTCAGAGGTGTGTGGTAGCAACCAACGAGATTTATTGGCGCTTGGCTAGGGTCGTTGCGGGAAGTAAATGATGAGACCCACCAGGTAACATGTGGAACGTGGTCTAGAGGTCTCTGTGTCGCCGAAACCAACACGCATTCCGCGATCTGCTTGGGCGAGTGCTCCGACCAATGGCCAAAGAGCGCGTTGCTTTCCCTCCGTTTACGTTCCAGCTAATCGCCACGTTCGTGTGAGCTCAAATGCTCGCGTGTGGGCATCCAACGGCGGCCTACCTAAGCTTAGCCGGCGTTGCGTCGGTCATAACCACGTCTGGGGGAACGCCCCGCCCTCGGCGGCCCTCCCGTCGCCGCTCGCCGACGCCCTCACCAGAAGATGGCCAGAAAGCTGGCACCCCCCCGGCCCCTGATTTCTCCAGATCTCCGCCGCCGTTTCCAGACGGCGGCGGCGATGACGGCGGCGGATTTTTGCTGCTTATGGCGTTGTCCTCGACGGTAGTGCCCGAGCTACCCACGCTGGGGCTAGCGCCGACACCGCTGCTATTCCTTCGGCGGGTAGGGAGGGAGTCTGAAGGGCCCGGTCCTGGTCTGCTGAGATGTGATACGAAAGACCGAGAAGGCTTCGGTTATATCCATTGTCCAGAGATATGCACACACCAAGCTCTCCGGCGGATTCTACAAATAGGGCCCGGAGATAAGAAACGTCAAAATCGGGTCGAGCCTCAATTTCTTATTCTGGGCAGGAGGACCAGCCGAAGTCGACCAATTTCTAAAAACGGATTTCTTATTCCTTTGGATTGTCCCATCCTGCTGATTCTCTTGTTTTCTGATTTTCTTGTTTCTGATGGCGAAGACAACAACGACACACCAAGCCTTCATGCAGCATTAAACCGACAGCTCGGTGTGGCGAACATTTGGGGTTGTGGTCGTGCAGCAGTACAGTGGCAGTGGGTAGCGCAGCCCGCGGCGGCGCTGGAGCGCGCGGGGGGGGGAGGGGGGGGGGGGGTACTCATAGTCGTGCATGCTGTAGTCGTTAGACCATTGACCTTGCATCCCTACAAAGCCGGGACGGAGCACGCCGAGTTCTCACCGGACCAGGCTCTCACATCACCAAGCGCGAAGCGCCGTGAGGTATTCGGCGAGTCGCATGAAGGGTGCGCTGCATCCTGCTAAAGGTGTTCGGCATCTTGTGCTTACTTCCTTGCGTACGGATAACAGCTGCGTATGACTTAGTTTATTTTCTGGTGCTTTCACTTCCAGAGACAGCTGTAAGCACTGTGTAACTGCCTCGAGGATGCTTGACCATTTTAACACAACGTGGTGCGATCATCCCCCTTGCGCGGAGTGAGGGTTCTCGACCCCGCACAACATGATCTTCTCGACCACCATTCATGGTTACCGCAAAAAACAAAAATAAAGGCAAAAAAAAAAGCGGTAACCTGGTTGCCGAGCTCACGAAGTGATCAGCTTGTTTTACAACATCACTGCCAAGCGACGACAACCCAACCCCCATGGCAAACACCGGGGGGAGGCTGGAGCGCGGGGAGGGCGTACTCTTATGTTTTGCATGCCTTAGCGGTTAGACCATTGACCACGCGTCCTCGAGAGGACGGAGCATTGTTCCCACAGGACCGATCACCGATGCCCAATCGTTCCTTCCTACTTTGCCAAAGGTGGTTCAAAAATGTCTTCCCTAGTTTGTCTATCCTCACGATATCCCTTCCCGCCTTTTCAAACCACTTCCTATTCCCCACTGCAGCTACCGTCCTCTCCTCTCTATTCCATGCCTCAAACATCTCCCTGTACGTCCCTTGTATTTTTCCCGGCCCAGTCCTGTACACTTCCCTCTCCTCTTCGTACCACGGACATTCCGCGACTACATGAACACGGTCTTCGCATTCGAAGCCGCAATCACATTTGAACTTGTCGTCTTCGTCGTCTACCGTCCTATGTCTTCGTCGACGTTCTCGAAGGCCTATGTCCCCGGAGCGCGGGGGGGGGCGCGAAAATAACCACGTTCTCCCCCCACCAAAAGAGTGCATGACATGAGCTATGAGCTAGGTAGGGGGTGGGAGCAGGGCAGCAGCAGGAGAAACAGTGGGACGTTTCTTTAGACACGCCCCCCCAGCTTCTACCCCTTGTTTCGTTTTTTGGGGGTATCGCCCGATCATGTTTCGTATTGGGACGTTTCTTATGTTGTACCCGAGATTGAGCTGTGTTTCTTCGTCCTATTTTCTTAGTTTCCGAAAAATGTGAGCCTTTTTTCTGAACAGAATTTTTCTGACCTGCGGGCCCTACCTGTGCTTTCGTTGAAGAGGAGGAGGCATAACAATTCCATCATCAAGGGTTAGGGCCATAGTGGTTGCCATCCCTTAGCGGAAAGAAACAGGGTTGCTCACTCAACGGGATGAATTTGCATTGAATGCCGACTAAAGCACGATACGTTACGGTTCAAGGGTTCGCTACCTTGGTGCGCTACCAGGGAGAGACCTAAGCCTCCTGACTCGCCGCTCCGAACGCTTCGTAGTTGGATTTTCGCTGACATCCGCCGTCTGTGCTACTCCGGTAGGTCCGCGTGGGGCGTGCTGTGTTGGTTTGGCTGCCCCTTTAGATGGAGCAGAAGATGTTGCGGCTTCGTTGTTCTTGCCAGTCGATTTTTTCATGGACCGTCTACAGCAGTATGTAGCAGTCAACCCGAATGGTGCGACAGAAAACGAAGCGTCAGAGGAGAACAAAAGGCAACATCGACACGGTGAGACAGTAACACGATTCGTTCACTGTGATTTGATGTCGGCATCCAGGACAACGTAGATCCTCATGAGACCGTGCCCCCGACCGGTCACCCTTCTTTGACTCACAGTATCTTCATGGGCATCTCCGTCACTCAAGGCTCTCCGAAGCACAGATTCATGCGCGTGCCATCATGATGTTCACGCGCATGCCGCCGTTGGTGAAATGTCTGCAATGGATTGTACGTGTAGACTACAAGTACACGTATGTACGTAACCAGTGCACGGCGTGGTACCTCGATGTACACCTACCCTCGCAATCTATCCAAAACGCTCGGAATGCACATTGGTGAATAGGCATTCTGATAGTTTTTGCGTTCTCGTAGAAGCTTGCGGCAACGAAAGGTAAGGTGGGCGCGATGGGAGAGAAGGGTGAAAATCAACAACAAATTCCGCCGCATTTTTTTCCATGTTGCGCCCGACCAACAACGGGTCATACCTTCTCAGAGCGGCAATAGCATCTCGATTGGACGCCCTCTCCTTGGCCTCCTGTTCCAGTACACCAGTCATTCCCTTCGACAGCATGTCCCAGTCTTGCGCGGCGAACATCTCGTCGTGGAAAGAATCACATGCGGTGCACCTTTCGCCTGTGTTGCATTTCGGTGCTCCCTTCTGTTTTCTCTGTGTGTGAAACCGTTGCGACGCTCAGAAAACCTCATCGCCTCCAATAATCGTAACAAACCTGTGCAAACGAATACGTATGCTTGAATTGCGCCGCGTGTTGGCACATCGACACTTGGCACGCTGCAATCAGCAGGCCCAACAAGGCCCCAAGAGCTGAGTCCCCTAGCGACGACACCTACAACACCATTGCCATGGCAGCACGAAAAACCACTCCCTACAGTCCCCTGGCAGCAGCGCGTCGAGTGATGACGTTCGTGTGTGTTTGCTTGGTAGCATCAACGGCAACATCATCAATCTGTTCGACACACGGATGCCGTATGCATAGCCACCGCCACCACCACAAGAGCAGCAGCAGCAGCAACAGCGGCTCGCGAAGGAAAAGGGGGGAAAGCCCTAGCTGTGAAGGCGGGCGTCGTTATGGCCATGCTGTCGCTTGCTGGGCTACGGTCGGGGGTCGGATAGGGTGGTTTCCGCGCATGCGCACCGAGAAGGATTGCGCATGTTCCCTGACGACCCGAGGGATGACAGCGGACAGACCATCAAGAGCAGTGCCGGTCCGATCGCAGTTAACGATGAAGGCCAGGGGTAAGAAAGGCCGGGGAGGTGGTGGCAGGCAAGGGGGGAAGGGTGATGCGACAGCTAGAGCTGCCGGCCGAGCGGGCACGAAGCAGAAGAAGGCGGCTCTGTACATTCAAATCGAAGACTTGGAGAGCGACTCATGGAGGTATGCATACAAGTCACACGAGCCCCGTGTGGGCAATGGCACGTATCTCTATATACCAACCTGGGTGCATGTGTGATGTGTTTTCCTATTGTGCTGCATCTCGCCAGCGATGCGTTCAAGAAACGTCTACGCTCTACTGGTTCATACATGCCCTTCCAAGGTGTTGTTGGGTAAACCGGGGCCGAAACTTGTAGGTTTGTGGAGAAAGGCAGCTCGGCCAGCGAGGGCCGAGATGGGAAAGTCTTGTGTTAGAGAGGAGACCCATCCGTGACGCAATTCCGATCACCCATCGAACTGAATCCGAAGAAACCAAGTAGAATCTCCCTTGTCCCCCAGCAATCTACCAACAAAAATCTCCGTAGATCCACACCCCATATTCAACCATCATACTATGCTACGATATGTCCAACACAAGGGTATCCCTCTCGCCGCTTGTACCAATACGGCGCTAGCTGGTAGCTCAACGGAACACTGCAAGTAGCAACGAGTGTTGGTGCTAGCTCTCTGTACCCGGTTGCATGCAGGTAATAGAATGCCGGCGGAGGAGGCTACAACGTGGACACCAAGGGTGATGCCACGGGAGCGCTTGTTCTCTCGCCGAAGACGCGGACGGGGCGAAGCGAAGCAAGGCACCCCGTTGATGCATGCACGCCACCGTAAGGCAAGCGGGCAGGATTGTGAGCACCACCTCTTACGCCGGCGCTACTATTCGTTCCCTCGGGCGGCTGTACCCTCCCCTTCCTTCCCACACGCAGGCTGATCGAGGCGGGCAATATTTTACGGAAGGGGGGGGTGGGGGTGATCCCGACCGACACCTGCTACACGTTCGCGTGCGACATTCTCAGCCGCAAGGGCGTGGAGAGGGTGGGTCGTGACACAGTTGCCACCGATATATATATATTTTGTGGCGGTTGCTGGTGCCGTCATCGCTGGTACAGCTAGCGCCCGCACTAGCGAACCTCTACGTTGTTTTGGCCAAGACTCGGGTTCTTAGTTCCTCTTGTGGGCTGCACATGGCCGCCACAATGGTTTTAATATGCAGGGGATCTTGACGGGGCTCACGAACGGTGCTCGAGTTCTTACCGTTTGACATAATGTTGAGCGTGAACTTCCTAAGCGCGGGCGCTACATATCTTTATTCTTCACTGGCAAAGAACGCCTTTAGAAGAGATGGCTCGCACGTGTTTCCTGGCTTCAGACGCACGTAGATACTGCTTGTTTGTGTTGTTGGTGTCGCGCTACCACTGGTTAGTGTCAGTGTATGCTCGTTGGTTCCTGGCGGGACAAAACAGACCACGTGCTCGTTTTCTTTCCCTTGTCGAGCGTTCCCAGCGTTTGTGGCGTGTTTCACCACGGATTCTTCGCAGCACCCACGGAACAGCATTTTCTCATTTGCTTTAAGTAGTTGAAACCGTCCCCTTACCCTTACGTCGCGCAGATCCTGCAGATCAAGAACGAACAAGGTCGCCACAAGCCGCTCAGCCTTCTCTGCAAGGACATATCAACTATGAACACCTATGCGAAGGGAATCGACAAGGTAAAGCCCATCTCGGCCGCTTTTTTGGGGGACAATTTCTCCGAACACAGCAGTACATTATTTTTTGGTTGATTTGAACGATGTATTTTTATTTTCACGGCAGTGCTAGATGATTGGCGTTTGCAATACCCGTGTGGCACTCTCTGCCTATTCTACTTCGTCCGTGCAAATGTTGCAATGTATGAAGCACTTCGATCGCAAAGGCTTGTATCCTTCCCTCCTCTATGCCTGTCCTTTTCGCATCTGTTGTGCGTGTGGTTGCCCAGGCGCTATTCAAAACGATGAAGGCAGCTTTGCCAGGGCCTTTCACCTTCATTCTCCCTTCCACGAATGAGGCAAGACGTGTTGTATACCGTACGCAGAATAAGGTACCACACCCCCTTGACCGATTTTCAGATCTCGAAGACTCTCTGGAACAAAAAATCAGCGACGGTGCCGAAAATGCCGGCGTTAGCACCGCCGCGTCCAGAGAGCTTTTCCGAAAACGTACCATTTGTTCTTGGCACATCCTCTTCGTCGTGGAGTAATCGAGCTTCGAAAATCGGTCCAGGGGGGGCGGATCTTATTGCAACGCGCGGTCGTCATGCGAAAACACGAGCGAAATGGTTTGGTCCCCCTCGGATGCCACAAACAGCACCACGACTGGAAGCTGGGACAAGAGCAAAACCCGCAACGCTACGCCCCTGCGGTTCAAACCGAGATGTATGCGTACATTGTCCGCCGTTCTGCTTAAAAACTGGTGTCTCCCAAGACCTGCATGTCAAGGCACCGACATCCCAGTTGGGTGGACCTCTCATGCCTGAGGGTCTCAGATCACAAAACAATAAAGTCGAACTTGCAATCAGCAGGCTATGCCGCCCGAGACAGTGACCAATGGCGGTGATATGTATCTATTATTGCCGGTGCGGGTTACACCCGCAATATACGAGGTGTGTTATGTCGCGCTGATGTCGTATTTACGATGTGTTGGGTTTCGGCCCCCCTGCGCAGAATGCGAAAGCTGTGCAGGGCGGGCGACAGTCTCCGAATGTTGCGTTTTGCTTTCGTACTGTAGCAACAGATTGCAGAGTCGATGTTTTTTTTTTGTGTGGGCTATTGGCTCCTCTTGTGCAGGTTCCGAGGATGCTGATCGAGCACAAGCACCACAAGAAGACCTGGAAACGGAAAGAGATCGGCATCAGGCTGCCGAACGCCCCGGTCCTTCTCGATCTATTGCAACAGCTGGACGGGTAAGCTATGCGGGCAGCGCTACTCACAGGCTGTGGCTTCTGCGACGTGTCTTGATGAGAGTTACAGGTCTTGCGTCTTACGTATGGACGCACGTAGGTTGCTGCTATGAGCACGTCTGTTCCCTAGCGGATCTCATCGACACGACTGCTGCCCGACACGTGCGGTGCAATTTCGAAGGTGTGGGCACCTCAGAGGGCGTAGCCCGCGGTGCCGTGCAATACGGTCGAGAGTGTCACGACATCCTAGTATGATGTAGACGACGGTCAACCTGCCAGAGCAGTTTCAAAGGGATGTCGGTGTCACCTCCACCTTGTTCGGGACTCCCAACCTACTTTTTATGCAATGCTGCTACTGTTCCTGTGCTCGTGAATTTTTTTATGGGCGGAGGGCCCACCACCATCACGCTTGCCCGCCTACATCATACAAACCTCAAGCACATCTCACAACGTGTGGTTGCGGGGGAAGAACCTGCATCCCGTCCCTATCTCCCTCTTTCTCTTTCCCTGTCTCTGTCTATCTGCCTCCCCCCCCCCTCCCAGAAGAGGAATCGAAGGCAGACGTTGGGAACGTAGAACTAGAAAAGGAGTTCACTGAGGACGAGGTTGAGGCGTGTGTGGACAAGCTGCAGTGCCACAAGGCAGCAGGGGCGGATGGGATAGTCAACGAGTTCATGAAGTTTGGGGGGAAGGGGATGATCCAGCTGATGGTACTGCTGTACAACTGGGTGTGGAAACACGAGTATGCGCCAAGTAGATGGAGGGAAGGAGTGGTTGTGAGCTTGTTTAAGAAAGGAGACAAGACTGGCCCAGGAAACTACAGGGGGATCTCACTGTTCAACATAGAAGGAAAAGTGTTCTGTAAGCTGCTGAACGATATGGATAGTGGGCGTATTGGAGAAGGAACATAGCATAAGTGAGGGCCAGGCAGGTTTCCGAAAGAAGAGGGGGTGCGTAGACCACGCATTCACGGTAGGGAGAATCATGCAAGGTAGAAAGAGGGCGGGAAAGCCGACGTACTGCTTCTTCCTGGACATGACAAACGCATACGATACCGTATGGAGAATGGGCTGTGGAAACAATTGTCCAAGTACAGGATCAAGGGGGAAATGTGGAGAGTGCTGAAGAAGATGACAGAGTGTACGAAAAGCGCGGTCATGCTAGACGGATAACTGTCTAAATTCTTCGACATTGAGCAGGGGGTCCCACACGGTTGCACGCTGTCCCCGGCATTGTTCCAGGTGTTCATCAACGATCTGTGGGAAGTCGTAGAGGCAGTCCGGAAGGGAGTATAAGTAGGGGACACGGAATGCTGTTTGCGGATGATTTTGTTGGTATGTCGGACACCCCTGAGGGACTGCAACTGCAAATTGACGCGGCGAAGAAGTTTTACTGATAAGTGGAGATTGTCTGCCAACGTTAAGAACAACGTTAAGAAGAGTGCCGTCATGGTATGCAACGAGGACAGGGAGGAACCAGTAGAATATAGATGGAAGTGGGGGATCGAGGAGATTGTAGTAGTGGACCAGTACACATACCTCGGAGTAGAGATCGCAAGAGACTGCTCTTGGGATGCACACATGTCCAAGGTAGCGGAAAAGGGCAAAGCACGAGCAGGGAAGCTGCACCCAATACTCGCAAACCGGCACCTCGATACACGCATCAAATTGATCGTTTTGACGAGCGAGCGTAATCGTACCGCCGCTAGAGTACGCCGGAGAAGTATGGGAAGGAAATAAGAAGGTAGTGAAAGAACTCGAGGCGGCGCAGATGAAAGCAGCGAAATCATCCTAGGATGCTCCAAGCGCACAAGTAATGCAGCCGTAAGGGCAGAATTGGGGATCCAATCCCTACGGTCGGGAAGAGACGCACGGAAGCTGAGATGGCAGTATCGCATGTGCGGGATGGGAGAGGAGAGGTTGCTGAGAATAGTATGGGGGGCGACGTGAGCAAACAAAACGAGGGGTAGACAACCCACGGAATGGGTCAAGGTTGTAGAGGACGTATGGAAGGGGTTAGACATCGACGAAGATGAAACGCTGGAAACGGAGGGTCTACAGGGGTTCAAGGAGAAGATATCTGTTGCTTGTACCGAGAGAGAAGAACAGAATCTAAGGAAAGAAACCAAGGATAAGGAGGGTCTAGAAGTGTACGGAATGTTGAAAGAAGGAATAGGGTTCAAGGATTACCTACATCGACCAATGGATGCAGGGACAAAGCTTAGGTCAAAGTCAGGACCGGGGACATAGGCCTTCGAGAACGTCGACGAAGACATAGGACGGTAGACGACGAAGACGACACGTTCAAATGTGATTGGGGCTTCGAATGCGAAGACCGTGTTCATGTAGTCGCGGAATGTCCGTGGTACGAAGAGGAGAGGGAAGTGTACATGCCTGAGCTGGGAAAAATACAAGGGACGTACAGGGAGATATTTGAGGCATGGAATAGAGAGGAGAGGACGGTAGCTGTACGGGGGAGTAGGAAGTGGTTTGAAACGGCGGGAAGGGATACCGTTAGGATAGACAAACTAGGAAAACATTTT